AATACCTTGAGGGATGTACAGTTGAAACGATGTTTAATTTGATCCAGTCCAGAGCATTCTTTCCACGTACCTTGTACTTTTCATTTCATTTGAAAAGATGCCTTGCAGCTGACACTGTCCAATGTACTATTCTGAGGCCCAGATAAAACTGTACAAAGTTGACTTCTGTCTTTTCGTGAAAAGCACGATTAGAGGAAAAAAAAGTGATTTACGGAAACCAACTAAAGCACCAAACCAAGAAAGTCGCCGGACACAATTTCACTTAAGAATTCCTTTTCAAGGGAAATAAAAATTGTAACAACATGACTTAATTAAGGGATTCTTCGCAACCCAAATTCATTTAATTGCTACACTAATGGTTAAGACAGTCATGTTGGCGTGACGTCTATTTGGGAGCTGTAGTGTAACTAAGGAATCTTGCTTTCTATAAGTTTCGATCTTACATTTCTAGTGAAAGTGTTTGATGAAGAGATTTAATGTTCATTCTTACCAGAAGACGAAAGCAGATTCCTCTTGGCCGGCTGTCGATTTGCTTGCCTCACAAGCTTGTACGCGTTTATAAGAATGATGCCATGCGACTCTGGTCGGTGATTACTCCACCATAGGCAATATTTCTGGAAGCTATGATCTTGCGCTGTGATATTACTTGTCCAAAACCGACCGGCCACAACCCGGGCTTTGAGTGAATAATACATGATATGAATGCGATCTTAGCCTATTTGCGCCCCTTCAAGGCACGTGTGGTAGCGTCCTCCCACTTGGTACCACAAAAATGGCAACTGGCCAGATGACTACAATCGGAGACACATTCACACTCATCTCACACACCCTCCTAAATTTAGATGAGTCGCCTCTGGCAACTAGAGATCTCACTGATACCGCCACGAAGCAGTCTATCGGACGAGTAAAGATGTGAAACTGAGCGGGTTTTGTGATCTAGTAGAGGATTCCACGACAAGCAATCTTCCCTCAGTCTCCATCGCAATGGCTAGCCTGGCCCCTTGGAAATGCAGATATTTATCTCGCCTTGCCGATCCAGTATCTTCCCCTATCGGGCACGACACCCTCAATTTATTACATGCGACGACGTGAACACACGCAACGAAACACACCCATACACACGTAAAAGCACACATTTGTGTGACCGTATTTTTATGCCCGTACTGGAGGCGATTTGATTTGTACGGCATCAGGAGCCACATGCCTACCGACAAGTTGGGCCGTTCAAAGCAAACCTCGTGTCAACTCGAGGCTCCTCCATCCTGATTGCTTAACCTTTAATCTTTTAAAGTTGCTCTATTGTCATTTTGCCTATCCGAGGCGGTGGAAATCAAGATCAGCTTAGGTGAGCAGCCAGATCACAGATTGATGGGTAAGATTAGGTGAAATGTGGATCAGGAAAAATTGCAAAGTGAACTGACCCATTTCATTTTATTGGGCCGGCGTGCGTCTTGGCGGGTGGATAGACAAGCAGATGGTCCACGGTTTGACCGTTCGTTTTGCAGAAGCCGCCGTTACGTGTGCAAATGGCCACTACAACTGGTTCATAAACACATGCCAGACACAGTTACCGCAGCCAGATAATAGTTGTGAGGTGACTCCACCACATTGTACCACGTTAACGGTCAACTCGTCCTTCGGTCAGCAGGGATCTGCCAATGGACCGAAAAACAAACAGGCCAGGTCAGTCGCTGTCCGGTACCTCGGTCCAGAGCTGCATTTATGCAAATACCCTCTTGGGCCGGGGCCCAGGCTTGGACCCGTTGAGCCTACCGGACGATTGAATAAGACGCCATCATAAAGGCCTCTTCTATTCACTGCTTACGGGAAGTGAGCATAAATTATGAAGTGACACACGTGCACCAAAGGCCTCATTAAGCTCAGCTTATCCATGCTGCTTGTTTGTGGGAATCTCCTCTCCACACACCATAATCACATGTCTCCTCCTTCAATCCTTCCGACGTCTTGACCGGCTCCCCTTCAAGCATAGTCCCGCATACACAAACGCATTGATGAATCCTGT